TCATCTGACTCATGTGGCTAAGTCTGTAATGCCACAACTCTGTTGTGCTCTCTGCAACAGTAATATCAACATTGTTAATTAAATCAGTAGCATATATAGCGTGTTTGTTTTCTTACCCCGAGCCAGTACCAAAGCTCATTTAGTAACCTTTCAGGTGCTATCTGATAACGCTATTTAATGTTTGCACTCATCAAGCTGTCCAACAGAAATGAGGTTCTTCTTCAGTTCAGGAATGTGTCTGACCTTTTGTAGAGTCCACTTGTTCTTGTTAAGAAGTGCAATGTCAGTGTCTCCAATTTCTACTACATTCAAAGCTTCTCCATTTGTCAAATATATTTTCCCAAAGTCATCTGCAACATAATTCCGCATCAATTTCTAATGGAAAATTATTTGAAAAGAAGCCCCTGAATCCAATATCCAATCATTAACAGAACTATGAACTGTCAGCAGTAGTGTATCATGTGATTCTCATTTACCACATATGTCATTCTTCGTATTCTTGGAATTTCTGTAGTTCCTCTTTATGTGTCTAGTTTTGCCACAATTCCAGCAAATTACTTGTTTACTGGACTTTGACTTGCTTCAGTCTCTGTGCTTTGATTTTGATCTTCCTCTGTTTGAGTTCCTGCCATGTGATCTCCCTCTGAAATCAAAATTCAATACCGAACTCAAACCTGAAATCTCGCCAGAATCTTTCCTGCGCACCTCTTCAGCCAAAATCAAACCACGAATATCATCATATTTCAATTTAGATTTATCTACAGAATTACTGACAGTCATCCTCATGACTTCCCAACTATTTGACAATGAAACTAACAAGATCAGTGCAAATACCTAATTATCAAATTCAATTTTCACATATGATAATTGATTTGTGATAGTATTAAAATCATTTAAGTATTGTCCAACAAACGTACCTTTCGTCATCTTCAAATTGAATAATTTTTTTATCATATATACTTTGTTATTCGCCGACAACTTTTCAAACATACCTGACAGGACTGTCATGAGATCTGCATTATTCTTTTCTTTGACGATATCAATAGAGTCAATCGAATAACCCCCAGAGCTTGTCGATCCAACAAATTTCATTCAGCCTCATCCATCATTTCGGTATTTTTTTTAATAACGGAAGATAAAGTTTCTTTCCATAGATGTAGTCATCTATCTGTATCCTCCAGTAACCAAAATCTGTGTTATCAAATTTCTCGATCCCTAAAAACTTTACTTCATCTACAGTCAGCATTCTTCCTCGAATTCGAAACCACGACTCTGATATCAGTTGTTGTGGTATATAGAAAATAGAACGATCGATGACAAAGCGAAAAAAAATAAAAAGAGAAAATTCGCAAAACCAGAAAACACAACGAAATATAGATTTACGTGGTTCAACAAATTGCCTACGTCCACGGAGTTGCAGGGGATTTTATTATTTGAGGAATTTACACCCGTCGATCGCCTCGACAATTACAACAAATGTCTCTCTTTTCTTCTTCCTCTCTCTTTTCTTCTTCCTCTCTCTCCTTCTAAGCCAAGGAAGAAGAAAACTAAGGAAAACAAAGCCTGCTATTTGTTTTGCTTTTTACGTATGCTACAGCCGAAACACATCAACAGAGGAGAAAAAATAGTGAAGAAGCATATAGGAGGATTGAAAACCTGCTTCGCGCATACGCAACCAATTTCTTCTGCCTTTTTCTCAGTCACACTAAGAAGAAGCAAAATATATATATTGAGTTTTGGCTGTTGTTCGTGAAAACAGGAGGGGTTGCATTGTTTCGCAAAATGAAGAGGGAGTGGGAGAGAGAGAGGCGGGAGCAGGCATTGTATTTAACTTTTTTTTTTACCGGGCTCCACTTACAACACTGTTCATGTGGTTTTGTCGTCAAATGGTACCACAGAATAGCGGTTACGACCAGAGCCCTCTGACCAAGTGATTTTTGCCAAACGATACCATTAAATTACGGTCGCAGCTTAAACGATACCATTAAATTACGGTCGCGGCTGCAACCCCATATGTTCCTAACAACTTTCTACCCTTTGAGAAGTGAATGATAGGGATACAATTGATTAACATATAACATTTTGTCAGTTAAGACCGACTTAAATTTATCCCCTTATACAAGTATCTACCCCAGATCTACAAGGATCTCTTGAACGACGCAACTCATGATTGCTGACAAGAATCCTTCTGTCAGGTTGGGTACCTCCTATGACTAAGTAAATCAAGGACCACGACAACCCGCGATGACAGAACCAAGGGATCTTGATTGGGTTTCATCTTCATTTTTCCATCATCCGCTTTAAGCTCCAATTGATGGATTTTATAATTTAAAATATTAAATGTCTGCTGCTGTTATATGTTGAATACTCAATGTTGAATGACTGGCCTTAATCGAAAGTGTTCTCCTGTTATCGGGAGGAATAATTAATCATAAGAATTTGCACATATGAAAAATCTCGAACCCAGATAAAAAAAATCCTTGCAATATAAGGGTAAAGTCATTGTAGTTGTGTCTTATCTACAATCCAATCAGTCTTCTGAAAATTCGACCATCCAAAGTTCTCTCAAAACAAAAAAAAAAAACAAAAAAAAAACAAAAATGCATAGAGTTCATAAGGAGCGGTCGGAATTTTCGGAGCCCACAAGCATTTTTTGTTAATTTTTTTATAATGAAGATTGTAATCATATAATTCAAGCGTAAAATTTTGTTTCTCGAGAACCAATATCAATTTTTTGTGCTTTGTTTAAAAAGTGGTCAAATTTATTTTTTTATTTTTTTTTTGGTAAAAAAACATTATTCCTCTCTCATTTTATTCCACAAGAAAAAAAAATTATAAAACCGAGAAAGAGGTTCGAACTCACACACCCTTAATACAAGCTAAATTCGAGCTGAACAAAGGTCACAAATAAATTCAAATCGAGTTGAACACAAACATGTGATTCACGATTAATTTTGAACACAGGCCAGATTTGAATCAACAAATTATTCCATTAAGCCAAACCAAAAACTGACAGTAAGCTTGCACATGCTTGGCTCACTTACAACTCTAATCATAAGCTGCTCAAAAACCCATTGCTATAATGAAGAAGAAAAAAAAAGGATGTGTCCGAGATAGACAAAAAATTCATTTGAACGAGTAAATGATCTAAAATGGGAGTCATGATCCAATAGGTACTCAAGCATATTTGCAATATAAACATCTGGAAGGATAAAACAACAAATATAAATTAAGGAGAGATTTAAACTACAAAATTGCAATTGAAATCCAATCAGAAGAGGTTATAGCAAGGAACCAGAAAAACAAAAATTATGTGGATAGAATAAAGTTACAAACCTAAATACATTAAACAAAATTCTGCTCCTTATCCTAGATCAGCGTGTAACCTTTTAAAAAATAACCTAAGAAATTACCTATTTTTAAGGGATGACTAACCAATAAGCTAAATAAATGAAAGGAATGTAGGTAAAATTTTATATATTGGTGCATTTTTTTGGATTATAGATAGACAAGAAAATTTTCATATTATTATGGAAATAGGAAACTTAGGATGCTGATTTCAACCTTGAATCAAATAAAATAGAAATTTCTCTTAAATCTTTCCAAAAGACTTCCTTACTTTCTCTCAACATTGTCTCGAGGCACATATTCAAAGGGATTGCAAATCCAAAGGAACCTGTATCAAGACTGCATCGTTGCTACCTCCCTCTCTCCAATCAGAGTTTAACTAATCCACTGATAGTAATTGATACAAATTTTCATACAAAAATTAGGACAAAATAGTATTTTATTGCAAGAATATCAACCACTTGAGATGAATATAAAGATAAACACCTACAATTCGAGAAATAAGTCATCTCTTCTAATTCCTACAATTCGAGAAGTAGGAAATCTCTTCCAAACCCTAACCCTAAGGGTCAAGATCCCGTAAGTGGGACAAGTGCCTTAGGGCTGTAATGGGATTTTCCAGTCTATTGGTGCCATCAACCCATTGTGTGCCTCCATTTTAATATATTTTAATTATAATTAGGGGCTATTTTAAATATAATTAGGGCTAAATTCGGGGCTATTTTTATACGTTTAGTTTTTGTTTTAGGAGACTTTGAGTTGGGTTTATATTATTCAGAAACTTTTCTCCATGTCTTTTCCATCGGGATGTTGTTTGCTTGGATTTCTCTCAAGTGGTTCGCTTGTAACCTAATAGAATCGAGGTGGTGATCTCTCCAGAACGTTCGAAGGAATCCTTCATTGTCGAACTCGCTGTACTTGATGTTCGCAGCAGATAAACTGCAGCATTCCGCCGTCATCTTGCTTTCCCGCCCTCGTTCCCACTAGATTTAAGCCGGCATCCCTCCTACTCCTGTTATCCATCTTATGACTTCCCTATCCCTTTTAAGCATTCTTCCACACCGTTTAGTGCCAAATAGGTTCTAATGCACGCATGTATTCAATCATGCACATATGAGCCTATGTAATACAACAATAACTCCAAGCGTACATAAAACTTTCTATATTCAAATTGTAGTTTTTCAAAACTTGGAATGACAATCATGCTTACCAATTCCACACAAGAGATTCTAACCTTAAGAAAATGAACTCATGAGATCTTTGGAACAATAGATTTTGATCATAGAGATTCTAAACACAATAAAAACCTAACATGACAATCAAGTACAGTCAAGAGGCTCTAACCTTATGGACAAGAATCCATGAGATTTTCTAAATATTAGAGTTTATTATCGAGATAATAAACAAAATTAAGATAGTCGATTATGATCCAAAATTAGAATAATGAACAAAGAGTACCTGATAAAGACATATTGAAAGTAGCCATATACTTAACATGGAATTGAAAAGTGATAATTCCAACAAAACAAGGACTGCTAGCATAAGGGTAATATTCTTTCAGGATTGCCATTTCTTAATGATCTTACTTTTCAATAATTCCTACAGTAATATATTCATGCTATTTCACGGTTCAAAAAGAATACAGGCCTTACAATTTGTGAATCTGATCTCCCATATGCTTGGACTGTGGTAGTACAGCTTGCTGACTAGATGGAAACCTAGAGACCCCATTTTGTCCAGTAGCTCGGTATACCTGCATTATGGAAAACCCTCACTTAATGCTTCGCAATGGAGGAAAACTTATTACAATTCATGACTATAAATACATTCAGACCAGAATATCTTCAAATGGAAACACAATATTTAGTTTTCCAGTCAAGAAAAAAATTTCTTTCAGGTGCAAAGTGGAGATACCAGTCTACTGTCGCTTTTTAAGGTTTGTTTTTTAACGGAAGGCCACTCCAATGAGTTATTGACATAAGTGTTTTGATGATTCTGATCCCATCTATTAACTTGACTCCTAGACTTTCGGTTCAACTCCTCAATACACTGCTGTACCTCTGGCTTTAGTGCCTCCAGCTCACTCATGACATGTAATAGCTTCTGCACAAAATATTTAAAAAAAAAACTTTAAAATCCCTATCTAATTATCTATTTCAAATTGGAAAACAATATTCCAACAGCTAAAGAAGAATCCAAGGTTAAACAAATAATGATGATATGAGGTAAAAGGTGACAATATGGAACAGAGAACAAAAGATCAAGTGTTGAATAAGCATTCACTTGCACGTAACATATGTAGTGCTCGTACCTTCTTAAAGATGAGTTTTTCACCTTGTAGAGATGCATGGTAATCTCGATGGTAAGGAATAGTTTCAGTGATCAAACTGTAACAAGAAGAACAAGTTGCCCCATTGTAATATGGCTCTACAGATGAGAGAATAAATCCAGAAAAAAAAGGAAAATTTACATACCTAGCACACAAGTTTTATGTATTTATATTTATCACGCCTAAACTTTCATTTTTACATAACTATGCATGAAAATGTGTATTTCACATTTAAAAAGTGCCCATAGTGCTATTTTTTATGGGATACTAAAAATTTGAGTACTATGCGTAAAGTTTAAGTGTGAGATAGGTAAAAACATAAGAGTTGTACGCTGTGCATATAAATTCCACCAAAAAAACCTGCTAAGACGAAAATTAGGCACAGGTTTCCAAATGTAAAATGAAGTGTATTCAAGTCAAATGCTTTAGAAAAAAAATGTAAGTCAAGCTTGCATGATTTTTTGAATGCATGTGTACGCATGAATGCAGATAATGTAATTTATTTAAAATATATAGTTCTAATATACATATGCCAATATAAAATCAGGCTATTTTCCATTTGGAAAAAAATCCAGCTTTTAACCTGATATTTCTTTTCCAATAAATATGGATTTGCAGCTCTTCAAATATAGATCTTCATAATTAAATATAGATGTGAAAAACAATTCAAAGGCTTCCCCAATCATTTATTTACATTAAAACATGTTAAAAATCACTAATAATTGAACGGCTAGGATAGTAAACAGTTTCCTCATAATTCCGTAATTTCTTGTTAAACTTATTTACATGCATAACTTTGTATTTGAATATAAACAGAGGAGCCGTTTTTTGAAGATCATCAAAACTTCTCATAGCATTGAATTATTTTGGTTGGTTGGCTATAGTCAAAATATTATCAAGCTTAGCTAACCTTCAAGTTTAAATTTAGAGAAACAATGATCAATTTTTATAACCAAAAGGAGAAGTGCAAACTCAGCTACAAGTAAGCTTAAGCTATACCAAACCCCACCCGATCCTATACCAAACCTCACCCTCATAATGGATTAGATGGCAGAATTTCAAAGAAGGATAGTTATTTGTTATAATGAAATGGGGAGAGATAATAGAATTTTGAAGTTCGATAATTCATTCTTTGTGGTGATGGTTTAGAGATTATGAAAATAGAAGGCTTTGTAAACTAGGTAGGACAAAGTTGCGAGGAGTTTTTAAAGATGGCCGAGAGGTATTAGTTATAACGGAATCATTGGCGCAGCAATGAGAGTGAAAGACTCAGGTTTAGTGATAAAGGAGGTTGGCTGAGAGGTAATGAAATAGAGATTAGACTTTTGGGTAGTAAGGGAGACGAGAGTAGACTTCTAGGGTATAGGGAGTGAATTAGGGTTTATAGAGAGGGTGAAAATCGAGAGCTTTTAAACTAGGGTTTTGATTTTAAATGGTATGATCATCGACTAAGGTTGACTCTGTGGAATATGGGGAAATCTGTAGAGATATCTAAGCTAGGGTACATGAGGATAGAAGTGGAGAAATTCTCAACTAAGGAATTCAGCTATAAATCTGCATTCCTACCATTGAAATCCATGTAAGTAATCAAAATACATTGGATTCTAGACTTTTTTTAGTTATTAATCAGCATAAAAATTTTGTTTACACTTCCACCTCCATCCCCAATCCCTGCGTGTGTGTGCACGCGCGAGTGTTGTCAAACAAATTTTAAACAATTTTAGAAAGCTTCATTCCAAGTTATATCTTGATTTGAACTAAAGTAGACCATACCAGCATTCTCTATTTTCATTTTGAACCTCATTTGTAAATTTGAAATGACAGTTAAGTCTTCCTATCATTAAAATGGGGGCCTGATATGCCCTCTTATTTATTACAGTTGCTATTAACATTATCAGTACTATATTAGTCTCACAGGCAAGTGTCTGTGAGGTGGACCATACTAGCATTCTCTATTTTCATTCAGAACCTTCTATATTAAATATGATATGATAGTTAAGTCTTCATATCTTTAAAATGAGGGTTTAGCTTGCTCTATTATGTATTATGTATGTATGTATTCATGCTATTATGTATGTATGTATTCATGTGTGTGTGTGTGTGTGAATACAAATGCATGAATGTAAACATATGAATACATTATATGCGGATTTGTGTGCACTCACATAAATATAAATATGGGCAGACTGCATGCATGCTTATTTTATGTATTAGAGTGTAAAAATAGCTGACCTTGAAAACCGTAGCAGCATAACGTACAAATCAATTATATTTTTTTCCTCGCGATAGATGTCAGCCTGCATTAAACAATTAAGAGATCTAGTCAACAAATATGCAAGGCAAAGTACCAGAGATTTTAATAAAAAATAGGTAAAGCACAAAACACTGCCATGCGGACATGGCAAAGAAAAAGCACAGATCACTCATGCGATCACATTAAGAAGATAAAATAATGGGGGCAAGTGAATGGGATAGAAAGAGGGAGGTCAAGGAATGCATTGTGTGCTAAAAAAGTGAAAAAAAAAGCGCAAACAAGCACTAACAATGGACAATACAAATCATTTCTTACATGAGGTGCTTAATCTTATCAAAATGATTTGTCTGGTACACAATTAAAGTCATTATATCTAACAAAGATGGATAAAAAAAAATAATTGTGAAGCCATTGAGAAGGCGCACAACAATTTCCATTAAATATTACGCACAAAATAGATAATCCAAAAATATCAACCCGAGTTTGAGGACATCATTGTGTCTAAGGAGAGGTCAACGATGTTATGCACTACTCAAACAAATGCTTCAAACTTACACTTATCCTATGCGAATCATATCTCATACATAGCCTAGCAAGCACCCAAATTTAGCATACTTAACGTGAATATTGAACGGATAAAAGTTAATACTTGCAATTTTAATGTGTATGGTGGATGATTTAAAAAGGTGTTTGAGGCATGCATTCTGAGAAACAATGCATCATGACGCAATCATTAGTTGACTAAAGGCGCTTGTATAGTTATGGTATGAACAAGATGAGCACATTTTTTCTTGAGACATCCTCCTTGAGTAATAATGCCTCAAGTTGCTCAAGACATATGCCTAAAACTAAGGAGCCCATTGGGATGCATTAAAATAAGTAAAACTTGTGGGACTTTGTTAATGTCATGGCCCTTAACAACTTTTAATTATAGTGGATTAGGTACTTGTATTATAAATTTGACACTTTATTTAAAATTATATTAAATCAAATGTAAATTGACATAGGGAGTACAAAGCATATCATAATGATTGCAAAGCATTTAAAAAAGATGAGACCGCAACGAAGAATGATAGACTTGTTAAATATGAAGATTCTTCTAAAGATGTTAAGAGTAATGAAGATAATGATGTGGATCCTAATCCTAATGGCTTCTTTCAGTTTTAATTATGAGTTTAACTTGAATCTACACTTAAGAACTAAAAATATTAGATTAAGATTTGAAATTGATATGAGTTTTATTTTTCTTATTGTGTGTTTCTTATAGTTTATGATTATGAAATAATATAATTTTTAAAGATTTATAGCGTATTTAAAAATTATTTTTAATTCGACAAATTGTTGCTTTTAACTTGAAGAATATGCCTTAATCCACCTTGAAGCTTACCTCTCACCTCAATAACTATTCCGAATTCCACTGTTTTAAACCTAAGCAAGGTGTTAACCCATCTTGACCTTTAAATCATTCCTAACTATGCCAAAAGATTCTCACGACATCTTTTTTTCGAGTTTTTTTCTTCAGAACCATAACATTAAATTTAACTAAAACAATTTTAGAACAAGTAAAACTTGACAGTTTTTCAACAATTTTAACCATGATACCTTATTAAAGCAATAAATTGTGAACCCGCCTCTTATTTTCCAAAACCCTATTGATAGGAATCAAGAATAACCAATAATGTCTTCTACGACTATTCTTATAAATACTACAACATAAAACAAAAAGTATTTCTCGGTCAAGATGTTAATGTGCAACATTATGCTTCAAGTACATAAAGGGGCTAATAGCCTAAATTGAATGCCATATACAATTTCACTAAAGAGAGCAAACTAAACTCCCTTACATGGGATCTTTAGGCCATGTTACATTACTTATGATGCCCTTTATGACCTAAGCTGACTAGCTCTAAAATAAAATAGCATGTTAACTTAAAGGGGTGATGTTGTGAGTCCCTTATTATCCAATATTTGCTTGCATTCTAATCAAGAAAAACCAATACTAAGAATAATTTGCTCTCAAAGTAGCCTATCTCAGAAGGATTTAGCATTTGCTCCCAACAAATCAATCAAACTATCTCTTCAAAGCTGATTATGATGCAATTTTTTGCATAGCCAATGCATGGATAAACTCGCAATAACAATTCCTCGAGTAAATTATCTTCAGATATTACCAGAGCTAAAGTAGATATGTCAAACTCAATCAGATAAAATATATCTAATCCAACAAAATTTAATCTAAGGCAATACAGTTATCAAGATCTCAACTCATAGAACTTGTAAATTCGAGATAAAAAATTATAATTAAAAAGAGAAACCGATAGCAGTTCTTTTTCTTTTTCTTTTTTTTTTTTTGGGGAAAAATTTAGTTTGTACAAAATCAAAGATAAAAACACCTGCTTGATGAGATTATTCGCAATCCGGTAGTAGTTTCGAAGTGAGATCCGATTGTCCACATCGAGCCTCGGCGCGCTGGCCGCGATGCTGATTACCCTCGGAGACTTCATCCTTAAGGTTTCCAACACTCACCCCTCTTTTCTCAGCCTGCCAATCGGACCTAGAAAAACACCATTGAATTTTCAGTAGGTGAGCTGATCGGACAAAAGAAAGGCGCACCAAAACCCAACCCTAATCCTGAATCCTTCTTCCCGTAGACCAACTTTCTTCGACGTCTCGTCTTCGCAATCGAGGAGGCAGAGAGCTGGAGCCACGCGCAAGGGTAAGGGTAAGGGGGGGTGTTTGGCTGCAAAGTAGGATTTAGCGTGAATTTAGTCCATTCGTAAATTGTAATTCGTAAATTCCTTAAATTCAACTTTAGTTTATCTACTAAACTCAGATTTAAGTTTGAATTAATGTCAAAAATAGGGAAAAATATTCCGTCCGGGCACTCAACACGATGTCGCCGTATATGTCATCACGCGAGGACGTGGTGGTCGGTGTTTGGCCGTTTTGACATGCGGACGAACGACGAGACGGAATATTTTTTCCTAAAATAAACTTTTAAATTTGGGGTTTTATAAATTCACAAAATATTTAAATTTTTTATATTTAACAAATTTCATAAATCAGACAATAAATTATGTTAAAAGGTACTACCAAACATCCCCTAAATTTGCAAAGTTTCTAATAATGTTTGTCGTCTGTGCAATCTATTTCGATTTAATCATAATATCTAGTCTGATGCTCGAAAGTTTGACTTAAATTGTTTATTAAGATAAAAAAAAATTTAGAATGAATGTCTTAAACTTAAATTAATATAAGCAAAAGCTAATTAAGCAATAGGCCTAATTGCAATTCAAAGACGTTTAAATGCCCTGTAAAACCACATAATTGAAACTAGCATTCATGTTGGCACATTAATAAGTCATTTTTTCCTTATAGCCGGCTTAACTGACTCTTAAATCAACCTAGTTTTTCCCATCAATCCTGATCATTCATCTTGACCCCCTTGCCTAGATTGCCTATGGATGTGTCTATGACCAAGTTTGTAATCATGGCAACTTGTCCTCATCATACTTTTGGCTATGTCAGCTATGATGGATACATCTTTGAAGTCCAATAAAAATAGGCCAAAAAGATGGGAGGTTAATGAAGATAATTATTAAGACGGTATAATGTCATCACCCATCTTCTCCAAGGACAAAACATCATTAAAGATATATAATACTCTTAAGATTATTTCACTTATTACTGTTATAGAAGCCTAGGGTATACAATGCCTAAGGGGTTACTTGTCTCCCTAAAGCTAGTCCCATGTTTATGATGCTAAAATGCTCAATATGAAACATTAATATATCATCATCAAAGCTATCAAAGCATGCATCATCGAACCAAGGTAAAGAGATGGAAAGTAAGAGAAATACTTAAGCTTTTAGCTAATGGTTTAAAGCAAATATTTATCATGCTACATGGGTAATGATAAGGGTGTCTCTATCAAACCTCAATTGACTAGTTCCGACGAATTATACAACCTAATAGTGGAGATTCCATGGGTGATCAATGGGCTTAACAAAATACAAGCTCCATCTAAGTGTTTGATTGAGTCCCTGAAAAAAAAAATGGAAGCACACCTCTATCTCAAAGCAAGACAACCCAAAATGATTTTAAAATAATGGCGAAGATTCATACCTTCAATCACTACTAGGTGTAATCATTTTTTAGAGTGAATAGTCCTCTCTTTGATTATTCATGTTAATTGATTCCAATTAAAACATGCACAATTGCATATAGAATGTTAGATTTATAGACTTAACTGATGAATACTATGAAATTACATAATTTTGTACATGCTGTATGCTTTAGTTTATGTGGAAGACTATTTAAACCAATCAGTTTTCTTACAATTGTTAAATAATTATTAATTATGTTTTCAACATTCACATCTCTTTCAGAATCATTAATTTTTCAATGGTCAACTCCTTCACAATTCAATTTTGAATCTTGTTTTGTGCTTATAATGATCGAGTATTTAAGATATCTAATAACACATCAAATGATATTTTGAAAGTGAATATTAGCTTTAGAAATAAAAATAAGGGAAAGGATGAAAAATCAACAAAAAAAAAAATGAATAAAGGTGCTAAACATCCTTAGAAGACAAAGTTCCTAAACCACGTTATGCATCATTTGATTTCAAAACTCAAAGTTAATGAAATTTCGAGTCATCTTCATCCCCTTCCTCTTCTTAAGTTAGTTCCTCCTTATCTAGTCGCTCTTGAAACTTTATGGCTAAGATTCTTTCTCCCTATACTAGCCAACTCCCTCCAAAACTTGTCAAAATTAAGATCTTATCTGAAAATTTGAGTAAATAATATTTGAGGGGTTATTTCTCTCAAAAATTATTTTCCATCACATGAAGTTTTTTTCTAATTAAAAAAAAAGTTGGAATAATTATGACATATAACAAATGTCATATAATTTAAGATTCAATCTCAATTTCAATTTTGTTAAATTAGGAAAGTGATTATAATAAGAATTTCACCATCTTCCTACCATAGTTTCACTTCCTCCATAACTATATTTGAATCTAAACCCATTGAGACCCAACAAGACCCCACTAAAGATTCTAAATAAATTCAACTCAACCTAATTCTAAACTCCAACAAAGTTAACCTAATTAAAAGTACTTACGTTAGTGCTAGCTCCCAATCATAATCCAACAAATATTGTGTTTATAACTTTCTCAATTAAAATTAGAATCATATGATTTTATAAGTCATTCAAACTCGCTCCTAACTTTTTATCTAAATGTCTTATTTATTTTGTTTACAAGCATCTTAAATTTATATGTCAAGTTTTGATCGCTTCTCATGCCTCAATTCTAATAGCTAACAGTATTTTAGCCTTAATTTTCTCAATTTAACATTAGATTCTGATGTTGGAAATGATTGTTTTCCTATCTTCAAGCTTAAAAAACTCTCTAATCATCACATTATTTAAATATTATAGTCTCATTACAGATATATTTGACTCTAAATTTGATGGTTTGAAGATTACCAAACAATTTCATTATACGATACTCTCATTCATTTATTATGAACAATAAAAACATAGTTATCAAATTAAGATAGGAGTAATTTTACAACTTGTGATTCAAATATATATAAGAAAATAACAAAGAAACTTTTGAGATGGATTACTTGGAGACTAGACATCAATACATTGAAATCAAGACTACTCTAAAGGTCAAAATTAATGCAGTTAATTCTTATAAATTATGTTTACAAAAAAAGGATAATATGATTTCTTTTATGGCGAGAAAAATAATATTGCAATAATTTTATGTTCTCTCTCATAACTTATTTTGGCATAATAAATACATATAAATTTAAAAATGTGTAATCTCTAAGTTATTAACATACACATATATGTATGAAAGCTATTTAAGGAGTTACTTAACTATGTATTAATTATATCCGAAAAAATCAGATCTCATAATATTATCATTATGAAATGAATAATAACTATTTAGATAATTAATGTTGTTCACACTTCGAGTCCAACCAAGTTGGTGAACCTTTAGATCATCACTCCATCACACAATTTTGTGCCTTCTTAGGAAACATGCTAGTCAAAAACTCGAAAGACCACAACAATATGGAAGTAGCATATAAGGCCATGACAACCGCTACCATTGATCTTATTTGGTTCCAACGTCTGGTTCATGAACTTGGTCTCTCAATATCTCAACCAACCCCTATTCTCATTCCAAAAATATCGAGATTAACTATTATTTCATTAGGGATTGTATTTCTTCTAAAATTTTGGTTGTCTGCCATCTTCAATCCAAGATCAAATAACATATATTATCACAAAGAGCCTTGTAATCTCATGATTCCTTTTTTTTTTACTCAAACTGCATATTCAAAGATGCTCCTCAATTTGAGGAGAGAATTTTACTTTCGAAGTTTAAATGCATGTCGACTACATGCACAACATCGTTGTCTACTATTGTACACATGTCGTACAATAATGCACAATATTATTATATATAGAGTCTGCATGTATATGAACTCCGCACACACTAATTTTTCCAATTTTGAGGGGCGGCAATGACAAATATTCTAACTGGTACATGGAAATGCTTCCACTACTCACCTCTACGTATTTCCCCAATGTTCAAATGTAACAACTCTCTTAAATACATGTAGTTAGTTGCCGGTCTATCCATACCACTTCGATTATGTGTACAATCAAAAATATTCGAGAAGGCTAAATAACATTTACTCTTTGTTCAATCTTATAATCTATATTTTATCTAAATCATTTTTTTTTGTAGAGCTTAGCAAAGTAAGCTTGTCAATCTCTTTTCATGAATCTTGATAATTAAATGAATCTTTTTAAAAATAAATAATCTTAATTTAAAAAAAAATTAAAATTCAATTAATATACATATCAAAACAGTTTTTCGAAAAAACCAGCACAAAAGCTAATATGTGTCATTTGAATCCGTAACATGATGATGAGAAACTATATCACTAACCACCAAGTCATTAATAAGTGCACAAAATATAACTCATAATTTATATAAGTGTTGAAACAGTCCTTAAGTATTTTAAAATCATATAATAATTCTCTATTTTAAAGAATAGAGGGTTATTTTAACGATTATATTGGATGGAAAGATAATCATTTGTACGATTAATTACCGGCTGCTACGCCTTGTTCATGACATATATGAAGAAGTGATTGCCAGTAAGATGGGATATCCAGACCGGACTGCCCATATAAACAATCCGGCTGCCCATATAAACAATCCGGACTATTTTGGCACGTCACTTCATAATCACTTTATCGAAGAAGGAACTTTCATCGTCAAGGCAGAAGTCAACCCCCTTTCATCAGCAAAAGGTCCAACGCGTGGAAACCAGAAATTGATGTCAAACTGGCTCGTCGTTCGCGAGCAGCTCGTGTTCGGCTCGCTCGTTAAGAAACGAACACGAACTGTGACTTCACGAACAATTTCAAACACGAGCTTATTTCAAACAAACTAAATTTCAAACAAACCAAACACGAACACAAGCTCTGTTTGTTCGTGTTCGGTTCGTTTACACCCCTAGTCATTTGAATCCGTAACATGATGATGAGAAACTATATCACTAACCACCATGTCATTAATAAGTGCACAGAATATAACTCATAATTTATGTAAGTGTTGAAACAGTCCTTAAATATTTTAAAATCATATAATAATTCTCTATTTTAAAGAATAGAGGGTTATTTTAACAATTATATTGGATGGAAAGATATATCATCTATATCAATGATTTATATGAAGAGGTGGTTGCCAGTAAGGTGGGATATCCAGACCGGACTGCCCAAATAAACAAGCCGACCGGACTGCCCAAATAAACAAGCCGGACTATTTTGGCACGTTGCTTCATAATCACTTTATCGAGGAAGGAAGTTTCATCGTCAGTAACGAACAACGCAGAAGTCAATATCGAAGAAGGAACTTTCATCGTCAAGGCAGAAGTCAACCCCCTTTCATCAGCAAAAGGTCCAACGCGTGGAAACCAGAAATTTCCACTTAAAAAAGCGATCTTTTTGTTTTTGGTTCTGGTTCTGGTTCTGATTGATGACTTCGAGCAATTAAAAAAACAATTTTCGTTCTGACGATGAAGGAGCTGCGTTAAATAAGCTTCACCAATCATTGAAGATCAAAGGGGCTTTCAACAACAAACAGATCCCTAATATAAATAAAGGAGAGGCAATCAGTCGTACCCAATGAATTCATGCCATTTTCAAAACCCGCACCACCTCTCACCCCTTTCCCCCCTTCACCGCCGCCGATAACTCCGGCGATCTTCCGTCGATGGTATGCCCTACGGTCGGCGCCTGTTCGAAGTTATGAAGCTCCTGAGCTGGCTAGGCTGCTGCCGGCGAAGAAGGCCCGGGAGATTCGGCGGAGGAGGGGAAGGAGGAGATGGAGTCGGAGGAAAGGATAAAGAGGTAAGTTGTCTTCCTTCTTGGAACCTGTTCATCGACCTCGCTACGCTGGAAGCCGCCACTGATAACTTCTCGGATGCAAATCTCCTCGGCCGCGGAGGCTTCGGTCCTGTCTACAAGGTATTTGCGCTTTTGCGAGTTTTCACAATACACCTTTGTGCTGTAGATTATCACATTTGAGTTCTTCAAAACACTTTAGATTGTTCCCAATAGAAGGTGGAAATGAGTAGTTAACAACAAACGAGCCATAGGCTTGTCATAAATCGAGCTTAAAAATTTGTTTGTACTCCACTTATTTTCTCAGCAAACTAATCGAACATGAGCTAATTAGTGAGCCAAATATGAGCTGTTAGCGAACTTTTTTTATGGCTTTAATCATATAAAAGATAGCATTAATTTAACGTTATATATTATTTATTTATTATTTAATTAATTATTGTCAATACGAGCCGAACACGATCAAATATGAGTTTGTTTGTGTTTGGCTTATTTAAAAATCAAGCTAAAAAAATTGTTCACGTTAGGCTCGTTTTCTTAACGAACGATTCGAACATGAGCTACTTAGCCAGCAGAGCACGAGCTTTCCATGAGCCACGACCTTTTTTGACAACCCTAAACAACATATGCCAATCTCTATTTGTGGGGGATGCACTATTCCACTCTTTTAAATGCATATGATTGAAGTTAAGGAATTTGTTTGGTTTTCAGGGAGTGATGGCCAATGGGCAGGAGATTGCAGTGAAGCAACTGGCGCTCGACTCGCGACAAGGGGTAAGAGAATTCACCAATGAGGTGAGGCTACTTCTTAAGGTTCAGCACCGTAATCTAGTCACCCTACTTGGCTGCTGCGCCGCTCCGGGAGAGAAGATGCTAGTCTACCCCTTCTTACCTAACCGCAGCCTCGACCATTTCCTATTTGGTGAGTTTCCTTCCCATCTAATTTCTTGTTGTTAGACATAAATCTTGTCTGTTATAGCTTGTTCGTTTTCTTTAGTAAGTGGTTTATGATTCATGAATGAGTTAAGTACATAGAAAGAAGTGATGGAAACCATTGAATAAACGTCAGATTCTATTAGCTAAGAATCATTGGATCTTGTATGTTATTTTCTATGGATTAGCGAATTATGTCACCTTGAAAGAGGGCTAGTGGGAGCAAAAATTTTCAAGAAGATTTGGAACATTTTGTTTCTAAACATAACAATCCTTTTCAAGTGTGCGAGTGGTGTTTGATTGATTTTGTATTAATCAATATTTGATTGATTGGTCCAATGTTAATTAACTTTGTTTCTTTTGATACAAGTCATTTTTCTTTTTGTCTAAGTCACTTCATTTCTTTTTATCCAAGTCACTTTCCTTTTTTTTTTTGTGAGTATCGGCAATATCTCCGTTTTTAGGTGTGAGATCTACATCTATAAACTGAAAGTTCTGAATGACACTGGATAACTCATGTTGAAGTCATGTTATAAGCATCAATGTTTTTGCTCCTCTTGGAAAATTTTAAATATTCAACTGTAGAAACATCAATACAAATCCTAAGGCATTAAAAAATGTCTTGAGTAATCATACTAATAGGCAAAACGTGTACATATGCAAGAGGTCTGAGCTTTTTGTTAATATGGCAAAACTAAGAAGCTCTACTAGGCAAATTCAAGTAGGTGAGGTGCAATTAGCATAAAAGTGTCAAATTGGGTTTACAAGCCATGTTTAGGTTTGACCTGAAAATTATATGACAAAAATAAAGCCAAGTTTGACTGACTTGTTTAATAATTTGGTTAAACATCTTAAATTGAATTTGACTCATCACGACATGGATAATATTTATATGATGACACTATCCAAAATGTACATGATTATGTGTTGTGGATATGATAACTCGATAACAATAAAAAAATACAATTTAATATTGTTGACCTCACTTTTGGTTGAGGTCTAGAAACTTCTTTAGTAGCCTAGGTCTAGCCATAGGACTTTCCTATTGACTAGTCTTAGAAAATTAGAAGAGGTACCCCACCATTAGAAATTCAAAACTCTTCTTTTTACTCAACTTGAAGTTTCACATGTTGACCTTAACTTCTAGCATTTAGTAGGAAAGATCATTATAAGAGAATTCAAGAAGAGTCCCTATAGGATTACTTGGCTTTAGGGTCGACCCTGGGTGTTGATTTGGCCATATCTTCACAATATATTAATCCATGGTTCATTTAGAATGGATATTTATCCAATTCTATGTGAAATGCCTAACTGGTCTCTTGCCCCTAGGCACCTCCAAATTACCTAACTGCCCTTGGGACCCAAATTTGACTAATATTCCCAAATTTTGCCAAAATACCCAAAATTGATCAAAACCCATTTCAAACACCTTGAATACATCCAAATTTGTCAAAATTTCAAAAAATGACCAAATTACCAGAATACTTCAAAATTTCCAAAAATGACCAAATTACCAAAATACTCATCCATGACCCAAAATCCAAAAATTCCTAAAAAATCTCAATAAATCCAAAATATTCCCAATTTCATTTTGTCCAACTACACCATGGTCCAATTTGGTCAATTTGACCATCTTTGACAAAATCCCCAAATTAGCCCCAAATTTGGCTAACACCCCAAATCTCAACAATTGAATGCCTTAAACCTCAAATTGGCATCCAATTTTTGTTGAAAATCCTTGATAAGGTCATTTT